ATTGTTTGAGGAATATTTAATAAAAAAATAATAGTGAAAAACAACATGGAAAACAAAGGGATTTGGAGATTGTATTAAGACACTGGAGGACATCTATGCCATAAAATTTTAAGAACATAATACTTTATACACAACCCTTTAAGAAGATTTTAGAACAGCAGTGGTGAAAAAATTTAGGCATGTCTTTACATGTAACACAAATTAAAATATATTTATGAAACAGTCCGTTTTTGTAGGAAAAATGAATGATAAACTCATCAAAACCAAATCCATTGCTGAAGAGTCTGTTCAGTCTCAGAGAAAACCTATGGGACAGAGTAGGCTGCGACTTTTATGAGAATAGACTACCACATCTGTCTCCAGACGTGACTGGTGGATTTGAACGGCCAACCTTTCGATAGCAGCCAAATGTTTAACCACTGCACCATCAAGTCCCCCTATAATGAAAGAGAACACTCCACAATCCCATTCACTACATGCAAATGTCAGTAGTGAGTATGTGTGGGTATGCATATTAGAACTATTTTGGTGGGTGTAGTTCAGAAGTGTGTAGTGTAGTCTTCACAGGGGCAGGATTTCACATGATGTTAACTTTATTTTTATATTTCTCTGCATAGTTTGAATACACTACAAAGAGAATGCAATTGATGTATCACAGGAAGCAATATATTTTCATTTTGAAAAAATATAAGAAATAGTAAAGAAAAAATTAGCATTTATTCTTGTCTTTCTTGCTACTAAATGTCTTTAAAAATCTTTAGTATCCATCAGAGAGACTTAAAGATTAGCCAAGGTGTCTTTGATTTATGAAAGAAGCAGAAGCATGTGTGTTTGTTTGCCATTTAAAATGAATCAAAATATATATTTATGGTCATTCCTTGAAAAATAACTAAAATGCATGTAACAATATAATCAGAGATGGACAAATTTGAGATTGCAATAATGAATATTGTTAAAAATAAATGTCTATCAATGTGCTTGAATGATTAAAAATGAATGAATAAAAATCAAAACAATAAAGAATTGGATGTTAATAAATATGGAATTAATGAAGAATTTACCAGTATCTAACAAATAAAAAAGACACAATAAAAATGAAAAATTTATAACTCACTAGTGAAAAATATACAAATCACTGATCAAAACTTTCTAATCATACATGTTTTCCTACTAAATTTAAAAGAAAGTACTGCATTGTCAGTGAAGGCAAACATGAGTATACAGGTGGATAGATGGGTGGATAGGCTGAACTATTAGATATGTCTATGAAGTGGGAAGTGTACCCAAGACTATGTGTAAGGATGGCAGACAATGGTCCTATAAGTGTATTTGTATGATCTGAATTCCCAGGTGTAGAGTAGAGCTGACAAGGTACAAAGTTGTAGTCACTTTTTGGTCACAGCCAGCTACCCAGAGGGACTGAGTAGTTGAACTTGTGGGCTTGGGACCATAGACACAGGGGACATCAAGTTGAGTTGGCATCACATACTACAAAACATTTTTCCACCTCCTACTTTGACAAGTAGCAATCAGGATCTTAAAACTTGCAAGTAGCCATCTAGATGCAACGATGGGTCTTTCCTCATCCAGAGCAAAGAAGAATGAAGAAAACCAAAGATGCATGGAAACAATTAGTCCTAGCAACTGGTACACCATGAGATCCGCAGCCTATACAACTATGGGACCAGAAGAACTAGATGATTCCTGGCTACTAATGTCAACCACGTGGAGGGGAATCTATGTAGGAGACCCTGGACAGAGAGGGAGAACAATGTGGAGCAAAACTCAAAATTATTGGAAAAAAAAAAAAATTAAAAATGGGGACCAGGTTTACTGCTCTGATAGAGCCTGATGAAACCACTGAGACTATGGCCCCTAGCTGCCTTTCAGGTCTGGAATTGAACCCACAACTGTGGCTTCCAGCCAAGCAGAAGACAGGCATATGAGGTGAACATGTAAATACACTCCTTGGAGAGAACAATCATGTGAGAAAGAAGGGCTGCTATGGGAAGGGAGACAGCTCAGGGGGTAGGGGGGCATGGAGTGATGGACACAGGGAAGAGGTTATTGTTGGGAAGAAGTGGGAGGGGAGCTGTTGCATTGTGGTAAATTGTGGTCAATGTCATGAGACAAAGTGTATGTGAACTGCTGTAGGGAAGGTGAATTTGTTCTGTAAATTTTCACCCAAATCACAGCAAAAAAAAAAAAAAGAAAGAAAGAAAGTGAACACAGGTATATTGTTTTCTCCATTTTGATTATTTGAAAGATTCACCAGACTCTGAGTGGTTTACTCACACAAGAATTTTATTTAAATGCAAAGGGTACTGTGAGGTCAGAAAAAGAGAAGAATATGTTGAAGGTCAGAGATATACTCAGCAAGGAAGACTCCACAAGTCCTTTCTTTGCAAACACAAAGCTTCACTCTGGCTTCAACCACTAAAACCTGTGCAAGGACTCCTAGTTTGTGCTGAAGTTCAGAGAGCAAGGGGAGTTGGGATTGGGTTAGGCTTGCCATTTGTCCTGTAATCAACTCAAACCAGTGAGCATAGTTGAAATCTTCAGTAAAGAAACCCCAGGATATTTTCAGACATTAAACAGCATATAAATTGATTGTATCCTAGCAAAGAGTAAAAGAACTAGGCATCCAGAGATAAAGAGAACATTTCCACCAGGTGTATATCAACTCACTTTCCACAATAGTAATGACTACATTCCATAACATGTTAAACCACTGCATTTTTTTTTCTAATTCTACAAACAGCCAATAAACTTAGCAGCTTCAAATAATATCAATTTCATATCTCACAGCTTCTCTTAGCAGTCTGCGAAGGCAAGGCTGAGAGCTCTGGTGGTGTAGTGCCTAAGGCATTTGACTGCTTACCAGAGGCTGGCAGTTCAAACCCACCAGCCACTCCTCGGAAGGAAGTTTGGGAAATCTACTTCTGTAGTGATACTACCTTGGAAACCCAAGGAGGGGTAGCTATGAGTCAGACCTGACTCGAAGGCAAGCACAACAACAACAACAACAAGGCAAGGCTGGCTTCTCAGTTTACTTTCACAGGCTAAAGCTAAGGTATCCACTGGGCTGAGTTCTTGTTTGGAGACGTTTGGGAAGAATATCTGATTTCAAACTCCTTAAGACTGTTGGCAGAATCCAGTTCCTGGTAATTGTAGGACTGAGGTGATACTTCCTTGACAGATGTCAGCTAGAGATTGCTCTCAGCTCCTAGAAGCCATTCACAATCCATGCTATGTGTGCCCTTCTGTCTTTCCACCTTGTACCTCTGATATCCTCTGTCTTTGAACTCTGGATCCAGATTTAAAGAGATCATGTGACTAGTTCTGGCCCTCCTGGATGATTTCCCTAATTTAAGGTCAACTGATTTGAACCCATAATTAAATGTACAAAATTCCTTCACAGCAACCTCTGGATTGATATTTGATTGAATATCCAGGATTGGGCCATGTGCACTAAGGAGACTATCTCATACCATTTTACTTACCACAGTTATAAATAAATACAAAAATTAGAGAACAATTATTTAAAAAATGGAAGAAAAACTTGAATAAAATGCTAAAAAAATGAAGTCAGTGAAAGTTGATGGATCAGTTCTTCGCAAACAGAGCTAAGTAACCTATGACCAGTTGTATTGAGGGAAGATAAAGCAGATGTGGTCATTATTAGGAATAAACATGCACATACATACATAGATCATTCTAGTAGAAAACCTGAACGACTATAACCATGACCAAAATTTCCCATTGCTTAATATTCTAAAATCTGTTAATTCAATTGAAATAAAAGAAATGTTACTTGATTTGAAAAGAGAAAGAAAATCAAAGACACGGGGAAACAATTAGTACAAGGGACTAATGGACCTTGGGAGCCTCGGCCTATATGACTAGGACCCAAAGAACGATATGGTATCCAGCTACCACGACTGCCTGCTCCCAGAGTGCTCACTACAGAAGGTCCGAGACAGAGTGGAGGAAAAAGTGGAACAAAATTCAAAATCACCAAAAGGACTAGGCTTACTGGTCTGTTGAAGATTAGTGGAACCCCTGAGACTATGGAAAAAAAAAAAAAAAAGTTACTTAATGTTCACTATAGGTCAGGTGTTATTTTAGGAGCACAGTAACATTTATCACAATAATAAAGAAAAGAAAATGAGTGAAGATGATTTTTAAAATTTATCTCACTTTTATATAAAAAGTAGCAAAATTTAAAAAAAAAAGATCCTATTCTCAAAATAATGTAAAATAATGCTCTCCTATAATTTGCTCATTATCTTTTGCAAATAAAATGACATACATAAATCTGTGTTTTATAAAGATTTAGGTACTTTTTCTATATCAATTTTATATTAAATACCATCTCCTTATTTTATCTGTAAATGTGTTAGAAGCAAAGTGGGGTAGTGGCAGCTGAAATAAAATTGTAGCTTGTGCAGATATGAGTGTTTAACTAGTAGAATGAATCTGTGATAGCAAGACATCTATTCCACCCAGGATGGAACAACATGGACTGATTTACTTTGAAGTTGAAATGCTTTAAAATGAGAAAAATAAAAAAATATTAATAATAATTAACAATAGCTATCAAGACATTAGATGTCAACCTAGGAAAGAGAATGCTTTCTATCGTTTCTAAGAATGTTGCCTAACCCAAGTCTACGAGAGTTTTCTTCTAGAACCTTTGGAGTTGCAGGCTTTCTATTCAGGTCTATGAACCCAATTTTTTTTTTTTTTTTAATTGGGAGGTAAGAAAGGGCCTCAAATACACAACTAAGTATTAATAGTCTCCAGGAAATAATGTTGTTGTTATGTTGTTATGTGCCATTGAGTCAGACCTGACTCATAGCAACCCCTCCTTGGGTTTCCAAGGTGATATCACTTATGGAAGTAGATTGACCAACCTTCCTTCCAAGGTGTGGCTGGTGGGGTTGAACTGCCAGCCTCCTGGTTAGCAGTCAAGTGGCTTAGGCATTATGCTACCAGAGCTCCCCTAGGAGATAATAGTGGACACTTAAGTGGCATTGCTCTGTCTAGGTTATTCTTGTCCTCTGCCAAGATCTGCTTGGGGCCTGAATTCCACTGGGAACCTTAGGAAATTGCAGGATGAGCCACAGTTTCCATAAAAGCAATTTAGAATGGGTGGCAATCAGAGGTACCAAGTTCATATTGAGGAAACCTATGCGAAAGGAAATTCAATTATCATAATAGAATGGATATTTTTATTGAAAGACATATTGTTAGTTTGAAAGCATATATATTTTGACAGATGTTAGCTTCAGCTGGGAGGAAAAATAATTCTTACTAAAGCAAAAATTTATTACTAAACCCATATATATATATATATATATATATATAGCCTTGGGACTTAAACTGTTCTACTGAAAGGAAAAAAATAAAAGAAGCTACAGTCAAATTTTGCCAAGTAAGTATGAAACTTCTGTTCATATAATTTTGAGTTTGAATTCTATATTCATTTTAGAACACTATAAAACTCTGAGAATCTATTTCTCAAATTAAAGCTTGTAAATTTAGATTTCTCACTTTTCTTATTATAAAGTGAAATTTAAAAAAAATAATGATACTAAAATACTTTGAAGGTCATAAAACCCAATATCAATGCAGCATATTACTGATAAAAATGAATAATGAAATAAGGTGTTATTTGAAGTGTATCATGTCTAAGAAGCAAAATATTAGTTTATCTTTATTTATTTATTTATGCTGATGTAATGGTTAAAGCATTTGATTGCTAACCAGAAGTCTGGTGGTTCAAACCCACCAGCCACTTCTCAGAAGGAATCTTGAGCAATTGGCTTCAGTAGAGATACTGCTACCTCAGAAACCCAAGGAAGAGTCGCTATGAGTTGAACTGGACTTCAGGGCAGTGAGTGCTTTCTTTTTTTTTTTTTTCCACGAGACAGTAAGACGTGTGCTATGTTAATGGAGAGTCAATCTGTGATTTTTCTCTCAAGCATTTAATGTCCTAGAAATATTTTCTTATTTAGGATGGTAGAAGTAAATATTAATTCACAAAAAATTGGCTTTTTTCTTTAAAAAAAAAAAAACCTCATAGCATTGTTCTTTATATATTAAAAGAAGTAGTAAAAAATTTCAAGTGAACACGATTTTTTGCCAGAAATGATAAATTACTGAATTTAAGAGGGAAAACTAGAGTTGAAGGATCCAGTGGCAATGTCCCATGTCTCTACTTATAGGTGACATCAGATGGGATAAAATCATAAACAATTGCCATCAGGTAACTAATGACAAATGATAGTGACATAAAATTGGGGTCTCTTGGTCCGGTTTATGTTCCTGTAATAAGTAGCACTTGAAACCATTTTCTTTATGCATATCTGATCAGATATTTTTGTGAGTCTTATAATATGAAATTATAAGTTTAGTCAGGAATTCTCTCTCTTCAAAGATAAGGAATTCTTGAATATTTAACTACCTTGAACGACAATTATTTATTGTCACTTGTCTTATAGTACTATATCTTGTACATTCCTTAATCACAAATGTTATCATAATTACAGAATATAACAATCTCATATAATAAACTAAATTAATTTTAGGTAAGCTTTTCATAACTTCTTATAAATTCTCAAAACAACACAATAAGGCAGATATATAGGTCTATATTCCTTTAAGTGTAGAAAGCAAATTTGAATATTTAAATATTTGCTCAGATCAACTAAAACCAGAAGTGATAGAAAAGTAATTCAAAATTAAGTCTAGCCAAAGAACTAGTGCAGAGAGCTGAAATTCGAGTAAGGATGTGAAGTAGGAAAACATGTGAACCCTTTGAGCCTCTGTTTCTGCACTTATAAAATAACTTGAGAATAGTAACTCTTAACTCATAAAAATATTTGAGAAAAACATGAAAAAATGTTAAACACTGGCCTACACATCAGTAACTCATCAAAACGAGTTTCTTTTATTTTCCCAGATGCTGTCATCTGTAACAGATGATGCTGTTAATTGTCTTCCTTCTTTAATTCCTATATTATCCACCTAGAGAACAATGCCTAGAAAAGTTCTTGAGTCCCTGCATGTCTCACAACTTTCTGTCAAAGCACACTTGCTCACATTGACTCTAGTTAAAATGGTCTTTTTGGAAAACATCTAATAACTACATCTCAGACAAATTATTAAAATGGTAAATTTTAATGAGAGTAATTTATGGCAGACTGAAGACATTTAAGGATAGATGAGCTAGTCAGAGTATCTGAAATAATATCAATCTATGAAAATTAAATGATTTGAAACATACAGCCTGATCAAATGACATCTCCTTTATTTTGATATCTAGATGATACAGGATTACAGCTTCAACTCAAAGTGCACACACAGAGAGTAAGAGCTGTAGCTATGTACAAGGAAATAAGGCACACACTGTACTTTCAGAAGACATCATGGAAGAGTTGAGTTCTTTTGGAAAACTCCAAATCAAAATTGAATGGTGAAAAATTCACAGGAAAGGGTGAGACATATAAATACTTGTGCCTCAGGATTTTGTTTGTTAATATGATGAGTAAAATGGATTCACTTTTTTATGCCCACAAACAGATAAAATAATGAAAATCCATAAGTTAAGAGCCCATACTTTCTGTGAAAATACAAGCCTACCATTAAATATGAATTATGTTGATGTGTTATGAATTCAGCATACATTCTCTCCTGGACCTTGGTCATGCTCTTTGATATAGAACGTCTGCTGGAATTTTCCTGGAAATTAGAAGTTGCATGTGATACTTGTACACACTTCTCTAGTCCATAGAGATGTCAAGAAGATTAAAAAAATTAATTACTTTCAGAGATGGAACGCCCAAAAGTCCTACCAGAAGTAAATCTCACTTCAATGATGGAATTTTTTCTTGTAGGGTTCTCTGATATTACTAATCTGCAAATGTTTCTTTTTGTGCTGTTTTTCTTTGTTTATGTGTTTATTTTGTTGGGAAATGGTGTAATTATTCTCATAACCAGGATTGACAAAGCACTTCAGACTCCCATGTACTTTTTCCTCAGGAATTTGTCCCTCTTGGAAATGTGTTATGTGTCTGTCACGATTCCTAAGATGCTCATCAACCTTTGGACTCAGAAAAGAAACATTTCTTTGTTTAAATGTGCTACACAGATGTGCTTTGTCCTTATCCTTGCAGGCACAGAGTGTTTGCTCCTGGCAGTGATGGCCTATGACCGCTACGTGGCTATTTGTAACCCTCTGCACTATCCTCTAGTCATGAACCACAGGCTTTGTATTCAGCTGGTGATTGGCTCCTGGATCATTGGAATCCCAATTCAGATAGGGGAGACATACCAGATTTTCTCTCTTCCTTTTTGTGGATCTAACCAAATCAACCACTTCTTCTGTGATATCCCTCCAGTATTAAAGCTGGCCTGTGGGAACACTTTTATGAATGAGATGTTAGTCTACATAGATGGCATGTTGTTTATCACAGTTCCATTTCTGTTCATACTTGGCTCCTACAGTAAAGTCATCTCCACCATCCTGAAGTTACCATCAGCCACAAGTCGGGCCAAAGCCTTCTCTACCTGCTCATCTCATCTTATGGTTGTGGCTTTATTCTATGGATCAGGAATCATTACATATTTTCAACCCAATTCCAAACATTCTTCGAGAAAAGACAAATTCTTCTCTCTTTTCTATACCATTGTCGTTCCAATATTTAATCCCATAATATACACTCTGAGGAATAAGGATGTCATGGTGGCACTGAAAAAATTGCTACCTTAATGGTTAATCACATTAGTCACTACATTGTACTCATTGCCTCTTTTCTTATTTAATTCTGAGTTGTATTTTCAGAAACTACATCATACTGGGTAAAGTAGAGAGTCATGGAAAAAGGGGACGACTCTTAATGAGATGATGACAACTATTGTGAGGATGCAATCTACTTCCGTAGTGATACTGCCTCGGAAACCCAAGGAGGGTCGCTATGAGTCGGGGGCAACTCAACGGCACATAACAACAACAACATTGTGAGGATGACATAGAACCAGACAGTGTTTCACTCTTTTGTACATAGGGCCATGATGAGTCAAAACTGACTTGATGGCACCTATCAAGAACAACTTTCAATTTGATTTCCAAACTGGTATAGGTTTATTATAGTTACTCATTCCTGAGCTTGTCATTTTATGCCAGACATTCTGATATCAGAGTTGCAATCAAAATGGTTATTTTGCAAAGCAGAAATTATTTTGTCACATCTCATGTATTGTGAAATAGTTTTCCACCTGCATAGATTTAATGGTGATTTGAGACTGTTTAGTGAATATTGTAGTCTTTTAACTGGGGACTGATGCCACAACACTTTTTTTTTTTCCTGAAAATCATTTTCATTTTCATATTTTTTTGTTTTTTCACTTTCTTTATGTAACTATAGTTTACTCTTCTTTTTATGGAGACATCTTCTAGGAAAGAGTATAGTATATATTAAGCCTTTAGAGAGTATTTATTGAAAGTATGTGCTTACAGTTTAGATTTATTATTCATTAAACAACAACAACAAAAACCTGACATTATGTCTTTCCAATTTTCTATACAGAAAATCTAGGAAATGCTTAAAATTGTTTCACAGAACAATACTATAGAGGTTGGTGGGTATTGTAATGGATATCTCAAGTATTTAAATCACTTAAAACTGTAAATCCAGCCTTGAAACAAGACATAGAAGAGATAGGAAGCACATTAAGCAGCAACCTACTGCCTTTAGGATGGTATTTGGTAACAGATAAATAGAAGGAGCTCTGGTGGTGCAGCACATGAACCCTTTGGCTGCTACTCAGAAGGTTAGCAGTTCAAACCTTCTAGATGCTCCATGGATGGAAGATGGGGCAATTGACTTCCATAAAGATTCCCAGCCTCGGAAGCTCAGTGGGGGTAGCTATGAGTCAAAATTGACTTGATGGCAGATTTTTTTTGTTTGTTTGTTTAGTTAGATACATAGAATGATAGATGATAGATTAAAAAAAAACAAACTTATTGCATCAAGTCGATTTCAACTCATAGAGACTCTCATTGGTTTCTGAGGCTCAAAATATTTAAGGAGTTAGATTGCCCCATTTTCCTTCCACTAATCAGTTGGTGGGTTTGAACCAATGACCTACTTGTTTAGCAGTCAAATGCCTTACCCACTATGCCACTAGAGAATATAAGATTATATATAGATATTGATATTATAATGAATACACCATGGAGTGGCAGAAGAACAAACAAATCTGTCTTGGAAAACTTACAGCCGGAATGCTCTTTAGAAGTGAGGACAGGGAAAGCTCATCTTAGGTATTTTGGATCAGTTGCCAGGAGGGAGCAGGGACCCTGGAGAAGGACAGCATGCATGATACAGTAGAAGTTCAGTGGAAAAGAGGAAGCCCCTCCACAGGATGGATGCACAAAGTGGCTTCAACAATGGGCTCAAATACAGCAGCAACTGTGAGAATGGTGGAGACCTGGACAGTTTCAGTTCTGAAGTATGATGCATCGTTCTGAGTTGGACAACTAACCACAAAATATATTATTAATTATAAAAGAAGATTATAAATGTTTGATTACATATATGTACATGTACTTATGTATATATTTGTGTGTGTGTGTGTGTGTGTGTAAAAGAGTTAATGTTCTCACACTATTTTATAGATGAAAAAAACATACACTCAAAGGATTTTCATAATTTTTCTTCAAACACATGCCAGGATTTTAACTCACAACCTACTTCTGTTGAGATACCACCTTGGAAACCCAAGGAGGGGTTACTATGAGTTGGATCAACAGCAGTGACTTTGGTTTGGGTTTTGGTTTTCACTATGTGTTATTTCTATACTTGATTTTGAGTTAGATCATCAACACTTATGTTTTTGTTTAATGTGGAAAGTGATTTAATCCTTCAATGTAATTTCTTATATTTTTTTAAATGAACTTTATAGATTTTTTGTGATGATTAATATGTTGTAGGGAACTCTGGTAGTGTAGTGCCTAAGACGTTTAACTGAGAACCAGAAGGCTGGTGGTTCAAACCCATCAGCCACTCCTCAGAATGAAGGTTGGGCAATCTATTTCCATAGAGATACCACCTTGGAAACCCAAGAAAGTGTCACTGTGAGGCAGATCTGACTTGATGGCAGTGAGTTTGAACTATGTTGTAAAGAGTACACCTACCACTGATATAGTTTATCATATGGCATTGCTGTATTCTGTAATTATGATCACATTTGTAATTAAGGGATTTCCTTAACATCTTCCTTATCTGCAGTCTTAGGAACAAGGATATCATGGAGACAATTAATAAGTTAATTAAGCATCAACAAACAGCTTTCTCACTCAATAAAATCCAAATAATTAGTTATTTATTTATGCTCTATTTCCAAACACTTTTCATATATCTTGTTGATAGTTGTTCTCTCTTTTTAGAGTGTTCTCTATGCCAATTGTTGTTATTATTGTTGTTACATTTCAAGTCCAAGCCCATGGCAACCTTATGTGTGTCAGAGTAAAATTGTGCTCCATATGGTGTTCTTTGCAATAATATTTATGGAAGCAGATCAGCAGGTCTTTTTTCTGAAGAGCCACTGACTGGGTTCAATCCACCAATCTTTCCATTAGCAGCTAATTGCAAAACACTTGTGCCTTCCAGATTCCTCTTTACCTCAAGTAAACATCGCGTAGTCTATAATTTTACATATTTAGCATGGTTTATAACAATACCTGGCTTAATATAGAAATGATGCTTTCTTATTTACTTGCTCTCAATCAGTGCATATATATATATATATATGTACATATATACACACACACACACACATATATAACTCCCCATTGAACACTATCACAGACAGGATGAAGAAGTGTTGTTTTTGTTGTTGCATGTGCCATCAAGTCGGACCCGACTCATAGTGACTCCTCCTTGGGTTTCCAAGGCAGTATCACTACGGAAGTAGATTGCCCCATCTTCCTTCTGAGGAGTGGCTGATAGGTTTGAATTGCCAGCCTTCTGGTTAGCAGTCAAGTACCTTAGGCATTATGCTAGTTATGTTATTGTTTCAGTTTAAGAAGTGCTTAATAAAAGAGCTACAAATACATATCAGAATTGTCTTTACAGGATCATCAAAACCAAATCTTTTGATTCAGAAATTGTATAAATCATACTTTTTAACTTCCCTTTAACAACTTTATTTTTTTTAAGTAATGGAACATTTGAAGTTTACATCATGAAAATGTTACCAGATTCTTAGGAGAAAAGTGTTAAAAATACCAACTCTATAAACTACGACTATATATACTACTAGTATAAACGTCCTCATGTTTTTAATATAAATGTAATATAGTTCAAGTAAAAGTGTTGAAAATAATATTGAATATCAAGAAATTGTTCAGTTTACTTCTTCAAGTCTTATACCCAATATTTAGTGATACCAAAATCAATATTAATAAAATGCACTTTTTGAAGACTATTCTCTCCCTTAAACTCTTTTTCCCATCATTCTTCTGCATATCGATAAATGATATCCCTATGTCCTCAGTTGTTTAAACAGAAGTCAAAAGTCATTTACTGTTCTATGACCTCTCAAAATATGACTGGGAAAGAGCTGCTTCCTCAGAGTAGAACCAACCTTAATGATATGGATAGAGTCCAGCTTTCAATATCTCCATTTGATGATGTGACATGAAACAAATTGAGGAGAAACAGCTGAAAACATCTA